CTCTCTCTTAAAACTTGATCCAGGTATAATTATAACATATTATCTGTTCCTCAACAATACGTGTTAATAAGAAAATATTAAGAAAAGATTACGACAAACTTGGTTGTAGTATGGAATAATACGTATTGTTCTCAATTTATAATTCTAATGCTAATGTCTATTGATTTTATTTTTTAGGATATGCTGTGATCGTATCTTAGTGAACTATCAGCACAAATCTGCATCTTATTGTTAGTGAACTATCAGCACAAATAAGTATTATTTTAAAAAATAAAATATGTTCTAATAACTTTATGTATTTTTGAATTATTTCCATTCTAAAAAGAAAAGTTTGAACCTCGTTAAAACAACTGTTAATACAACTTTTTGTTTGTTTGTTGATTTACTTTGTAAAATAATGTCTATTATATGTGTATATATATATGTATATATATACATTTATATACACATATAAGTAGAATATATAATGTATTTATCAAAATGGAATTTTTCTTATTGCGAGAATTAATAGAGACTAGAGACAGGGTAGTGTCTCGACGCTAAGCCAAGAACAGCGACACTGCCGTGTTACGTTACGCGAACCGGCGATTTGCGGGGTAATTTTTTACTCAACTTTTATTATTTCTGGTATATTTATGTTGTACTTTATTGAAAATCGTGATTTTATGATTTTATGTTATTTATATCATTAAATTCATAATGTCGTATTCAAATTTCACTGTTGCATTTGGACCCAAATATGATTGGTTGTTCTATTATGCCACCGCCATTATACGCAATGTTACACAAGTCAATAGCACCAATGACATTCGAAAAACCACATGCTTTTCGAAATTGTTCCATTACTTTTGGGGCAATTTGACGATCTTTTGGCCATTGAATAAGTGGTGGAGCAACACAATGTAATGCATATGTTACACGCCGCAGTGCTCTAAATCGATTATTCTTGTCACATTCGACTGTGATTGGTCAATTTCTTACTCTTACTTCTTACTCCGTATATTGTAGACGGGCCTTGATGAAGGTGAAAGAAATTCTATTCCTATAGAGAAACAACTCCTTATTGGCATATGATTTATGGCTACACCTGATTCTTATAGGTATTTATATAAATAAGTTAATAACTAGTTTTAAAAAAAATAAATTGCAATTATATATAGGTATTAATTTTATGATAAAATTACTAAATGTTATTCATATTTAATTCAGATCTATTTCCACTAAATTTGGAATTGGAAAAGGAAACTGCATTTAGAGCACTGCGGCGTGTAACACATACATTACATTGTGTTGCTCCACCACTTATTCAATGGCCAAAAGATCGTCAAATTGCCACAAAAGTAATGGAACAATTTCGAAAAGCATGTGGTTTTTCGAATGTCATTGGTGCTATTGACGGCACACATGTTAAATTCGGGCTCCAAAAATAGATCCCGCATCGTACATATATAAACAGAAAAGGATTTCACTCCATTAATGTACAACTTGTATGCGATTCACATGGATTTTTCACGCATTGTTTTGCCGGACATGTGGGATCTGTACACGACGCTCGTGTTTTTCGTAATTCTCCGGTAGCAGATTTTCTTACAAGACCTGAAATATATTTTCCTGAAAATTCCCATTTAATTGGGGATGCTGCATATGGTATTCATCCACATTTAATGATACCATATAGAAATAATGGGCACTTAACAAACAGGCAGAAAAACTTCAATTATTGTCTATCATCTACTAGAATGGCAATTGAGCGAGCTATAGCTCAATTAAAGATATGATTTCGGATTCTCTTAGATTGGTTACCGTTAACTGATGTTAAGAAAATTCCGGAATTTATTTTGGCCTGCTGTGTGTTACAATGTTTGTATTTTAAAAAATGATCTCTTCAATGTAGGTGTATATCACGATGACGATGAAGTGGTAGGTCCAATGTTACATGATAATTTAATTGATTTAGGTAACGATAAAAGAATCGAAATAACAAACCTTACCAATAAGATACAACGAAAATGTAAGATACATATATCAGAAATGTATATTAATAAAAATAAAATTTGTACAAATAAATGACGAAAAACTAATTTTTGGATTTTCTTTATCAATCCATGATATATTTAGATATAAAATGACATATATTTGGCGTAAAGGATAATGACAAATTAACTTTATTAGTATGACGGTATTAAAAGTGTTACAGTATCTTATATTAAATTTAATCTAAAGTACATCCATGAACAAAATTGTTCCACTTTATAAAACAATATATATTATCAATATATATTAACATAAAATTTAACATTTCATCTAACAAATAAATATTGCCTATTAGAGCCGACACAGTTCTTATGTGTAACAAATACATTTATTGGTAAAAAACCATATAATATAATATCAAAACTAGTATAAGTAAACGTTTATTTGTTAGATTATCTCTTGAGAGCCTTTAATTGTATATTTATATATATTCTTTTATTGTTTTAACATTTTTAACAGTTTTAACATTAAATAGCTTTTGGAAGTATAGAAATTACTTCAAGTTTGATGTTTTACTTCGAAAGTTTTAAATTCAACACAGAAATTTCGACCAAGGCCTCTATTCTGTAACTCTTAACGCAAGTTTCGTTATCGTTATAACATCGTTGCGCAGCTTTTTTATCATGGTAAAAAAGCTGCGCAACGACGTTATAATGATAACGAAACTTGCGTTAAGAGTTACAGAATAGCCCTGCAGATGCAGTTTTACTACATAGATATCGCTATTTATCAAAAATGAACAAAATAATATTTTAATCAGTCTTTTTTTTAAGAAAGTAGAAAATAAAATAAAATTGCAGAATTTAAGATTCCCAATTATTTGGATTTAGTAATTAACTCTCTCAAAATATCTACTAAAGATTTTTGTACTTCTATTTTTTCTTTGTGCATTTGTGTACGTTCGTGGTTACGTTTTGTATATCGCTCTTCTTTTTATTTTTGAAGTTCCTATCTTTCAAGTTCCTTTCTTCTCTTTTCATCCTTATTTCCTGCCTTTCTTCATTTGTATCTTTGGTGAAAGACTGAAAGACTCAAGAACAATTTCTACTTTACGTTTTTTAATTGGATCTGTAATAAAAATTAATTAACGTTTAAATAAAATCAGATATATATAAATAGTTACAAAAATTAAATTGTTTTTATTTACTCGATGATGAAGGCGAATTAGTTATCGGTTCACTTGATGTTGACGGTGTAGGTTCAGCTGGCCCTTTGCTTGACGCAATAGCTGGAGGGATTACATACGCCTTTTTTCCAAATATAGAATCCATGATCTTCACACAATCAAATCAAGAAATTAAAAAAATATTAAATTTTTAATATTAAATTTTTAACAACACTGGCTAGTGTGTTATTTGTTGACAAATAGAATTCCTATTAGTCTACTTGTTTTTAATTTAAAAATGTAAGAAAATGTTTTTTTTATATGATATCATTTGTATGAAAATCCTTGAAAGAATCTAGATGTATGGACTTCAAATATCTTGAAATAAAAACACTATGTTAAAAAACATTTACCGAATAAAATGCCCATGAATTGCGACAATTGCCACTCTTCTTATTTTGATCGGTTTATAAGCTTTTTTTAAACCTGATAGTTTCACTGAGCATTGTTGCCCTGTGACGTTGTATTTTCCATTGGAATCCTTAATCATTTTGGACGCAATCTCAGACCAAATTATATGATTTTGTTTCATCCCCGAAGTGAAATCCGTCTCTTTTTCCGTCAATTGTTTCGCCACAACTGTTGCAAGCAAATTTGGATCTATAAAACAATCATTTTCATTTGATTTTATCTTTTAACTTATTCATTATTTGAATATGATTTATCATTAGAAGCGTAAATACATGTATACATTTTTTATATAACCTCAAAATTTGTTATTGTAAGATATACCGAGCGATAGGAACCTCAGGAAGGATATTGAAGGATAGAGTTGTGAATAGAGAGGGTAAAAAGGTAACACCATGGTGGAAATACGTACTAAACATAATAATACCTCTCGCGGAATCTGTATATTTTGTATTTTTTCCTGAGTTTTATCGGCAACTGTTTTAAAGATCCATGGATCTTTTCGAATAAAAGTTCCATGAAATGTCTGAAACTCGATATTCATCGCTTTCGCAACTTCGTGTAAATGGGAAGAAGGACTAATTAATCGTCCTCTAGAAATGTAGTTAATCCAGTCATTTTCTGGATTAATTAACATTTCAGTAGACGTTCCTAAATCTTTATATTTATGCATAAATCTGTATGCTACGTAACCGGCAATGTATTTCAGTCCTTCGTCTTCTATGATATCAACGACATCCAATGTATCAACTTCATGCAATAATGCCTGTTCTTCTAAGGAAGGAACGTAATTCAAAGTATAGGTGGCTGTAGAAGAAAGATGAAACAGTACATATTAAAATAAAATATCTCAAGAACCTTTTTGGTCTTTTTCTTAGATTTAAATTGATATATTTTATATACAATTACATATAGATATATATATAAAATATGTCGATATATATAACATTTTTTCCCGGGTATATACAGGGTGTTTGGCGACTACCACATTTTTTGTCATACGTGGGTAGAACAGCCTATACTGAATCAAAAAGTCCTGTACCATTTTGAGGTGTCAGCAATAGTTAA